GTTCACAAGATGGTACACTCCGTCTCTGGTTGACAGAGAATCCGAAACAACACAAATCCGTTATAAAACCACGCCAACAAGGAGGTTTAAGAACCAATCCTACCGCTTGCACATTCTCTAGAGACGGCAACACTGTTGCTTGTGGATGTTTCGATGGTTCAATACAAATGTGGGATCATAGAAGAAACTTCGTGAATACAACAGCATTACTAAGAGACGCACATCAGAAACAAACAGAAATATCAAGCATTTGTTACTCATATCTTGGTACACAATTAGCAAGCAGAGGGAATGATGATACATTAAAATTATGGGATTTAAGAAACTTTAAAAAACCAATAAATGTTTTCTCTGATATTTTCTCAAGATATGAACAGACGGACTGTGGTTTTAGTCCGGATGATAGTTTGATATTCACCGGAGAATCTTTACAAAGGAAACAAGATGTTGGTAGATTATTATTCTATGATACAAAGATGTTTAAAGAAGTAACGAGTATAGAAGTTTGTACATCGCATGTAATTAAAGCGGTATGGCATGCTAAATTAAACCAGATATTTGTAGGATGTGGGAATGGAGTTATAAAATGTTTCTACGATCAAAAGAAAAGTTTGCGAGGTGCAAAACTATGTATAGTTAAAACGCATAGGAAGAAATCATCCGTAGGTATTGTAAGTACGCAGCAAATTATAACACCCCATGCGTTACCGTTATTCAGACAAGAAAAATTAAGAACCAGCAAGAAGAGAATGGAAAAAGAACGATTGGATCCAGTAAAGTCTAGACGACCAGACTTACCGATCACATCAGGTCAAGGTGGGAGAGTAGCGGCATCTGGAAGTACGCTTAGTTCTTTCGTGATCAGGAATCTAGGGTTAAGTAAGAGGGTAGATGATGAACAGGATCCAAGGGAAGCTATCCTGAAATATGCCAAAGAAGCTGAGGAGAATCCGTTCTGGGTCGCTCCGGCTTACAAGAAGACTCAACCTCAGCCGATATTCCAGAATGATAATGAAGAAGGACCTACTGATGCTAAGAAACAGAAAACTTCGTGAATTTATGAAAATAAATTTTAATTAGAGATCAAATTTTTATATCATACTTCATACTAATATAATGAATGCGAAAGTTTAGATGGATGGATGTTTGTTAGAGTTTGTAGTCGAACCGAATATAGCCGAAAATAGCCGAACGGATTTCGACGAAATTTGGTACAGATGTAGAGGATAGTCTTGAATAACACATAGACTATACACTTTGTTTTTTTTTTTAATTCCACGCGGACGGAGTTGCGGGCGAAAGCTAGTATGACATAAAGTATCTCATATTTGACAGTGTCATGTACATTTGACAATAGTGTACATTAGGGTACAAAAAGTTATGTACCCATAAACATTTCTGGTTGTAATTATGAATTTGGTACTTGAAGTAAATAAAATTATTTTCAAATTATGTATCGGAAATAAAAAAACATGAAGTAAATACATCTTATTGCTTTATTTATAAACCTAAACCTAAAATCCTAGACTTTTGCTTAATAATGTTCAAAAAAAATTTCTAACTTGCCTGAAAAGGATCGACTTATTAATAACAGTTGATTCTGAGTAAGACAGTTGTAGTTTACAAGCCTATACATTTAACTTAAGTATAATTTAAGCCTGTGCTTTCATACTCTGTGGTGTAAACTTTCCATCCCAGAATGAATTGATTGGTGATCTCGCTGAATTCTGAAAAAAAAACAATAAAAAAATTATATCGACTGAAGCTGGCTACATACACTCTGACAGTTAACTGAATTTGTTCAACAAAACTTAAAGGAATAAAAAAAATGTTTTAGCATATTAAAAAATACATTCAACACAACACTTTACCCTAAACATTAAAAAATGTAAAAAAAAAACATCCTATCAGCATTAATAATGGTAACAAACAAATCTTTCCTAATTTGCATTGCAAAAAAGACCTTTTTTTAATATAAACTGTTAGCGTAATGTCTTAAAAATAATAAATATTATGCCTTACCAATTTCTTAGCGCGATCCGTCAGTATCGAAAACGCAAAATGATTCAATATGGCGCCGGTCGGTAACGCCACGCCTTGGAATCGATACAATTGCTTCACCTCACTCTCCGATGATCCTATGGCATACAAAAAAAACTTCACATACGTTAATATACGCCGACTACAAGTCCTAATGTGGCTTGGACCCTAAGTATCTAGGATATATCAATATATAAAACTGAAATAAATACTAAAACAAAAATGATCACTAATATTATAAATGTGAGAGTTTAGATGTTTGTTAGAGTTTGTAGCCTAAGCGATTGAATGGTGCTCTATGAAATTTGGTATAAATGTGTTCTTTTTGACTGTCAAAAAGAACACATAGGCTACTCAGTTTTGTTTTTTTACTTCGACGCGAACGATGTCGCTGGCGAAATCTAGTATACATATAAATTATTTGACTAATCTTTTACGAACATCCTGTATCTTACCCAATAGTTTGTGTACCGAAGATATAGTGACTTTGCCAATTTGTCCCGTGCTGCTTATTAGAGGTCCTTTAGATATATCCACGTGATTGCCCACCCTGTATAGTGTCACCTTACCTGCGTTTATACGAAATTAATTTAATCTATATAAAACATACTTAGTATTATGATTGTATAACAAAAAAAAACAAAATAACAACAAAAACTTATAAGAGAAAAGTAAAAAAACCTGCCATTGTCAGTATCAATATTTTACAAGATTTGAAAACAAAAATTATTCAACACTAGCTGTTGCTCGCGACTGCGTCCGCGTGAAATTGAAAATAATAAAAACATGGCCTAAAAAGATTGCAAATAAATTACTTTTCTTACAGTGAAAGAATTTTTTAAATCGGCCCAGGAGTTTTTGAGTTATTTCAATACATACAAAAATACAAATCTTTCCTCTTTATAAGTATAGATGGATAATATTCAAAGCTAATTTTAAAACAATATTATACTACTAGCTGTTCCCATGCGACTTCATCCGCATAAAATTATGAAAACTTTATTTTATTGTTTTCATGTCAATGTCAAAATGACAAGACATGACAAACCTTGACAATCTTGCTTCCTTAATGTTGGCAGGAACTTATGGTCTCTTTCCCACATTACGATTTTATCGAAAATATTTACCCCCTAAGTTTAATGGCGTGCATATATATAGCCTAAAGCATGACGTAAGTGTAGGGCTTTTTATTAAAAATAGAATAATTCAAAAATATGCTGTAATTGCTGACATCTTAGGCAACAAAGAAGCGTGTGTTTACGCTTTATTATATTAGTATAGATGTAATACTCACCATTAGCCTTAGCAATATCCGGTATCTGCTTCGTTTTATGTTCATTGTCCACAAACATTTCCGAAGCTAACGCTTCTCCTACTTCAAGTCGTTCTATCAATTCATTCTTTCTCGTTAGTTTAACATACTCCGCACTTAATGTATGCAGTTCCTGTTGTGTCGGCTGCCAGTCCGGTAACGAGGGTAAATCAATATCGTAGATAAATGATCCGCTACGAACTAATAGAGAAATAAATATTATCAATATCTTACTAATATTATAAACTAGCTCTCACAAGAGATTATGTCCACATGGAATTAAAAAAAAAACGAAAGAAAACGAATCCCTGAAGAAGGATCCCCGAAGGGTCCGAAACTAGTCGGTGCCGTCACTGGAGGATAAAAGCGTGAGTTGAGCCGTGAGTAGTGTATCTGTTCTTCCAAAGTATCCTCGAAATCTATGGCAATTATCGAAATCCTTTTAACAGTTTAGGCTACAATCTCTAACAAACATCCATCCATTTAAACTTTCGCATTTATAATATTAGTATGATGTAAAAGTGTACATCGATGTTTGTTACAGTTTGCTGCCTAAATTGCTCTATAAATGTATTGTATAGGTATAAAGAACACATAGACAACTTACTTTTGTTTTTTTCAATTCCATGCCGCAGGAAATGTAATTTTTAAAGAAACTAGCTATCGCCCACACATTCTACACGCAGAATGATTCATAAATAAATAACTAAAATGTTTCAAACAACAATATTGTTGTTTTATGAATATGCTAAAGAATTCAAAGAGCTGATAATTTCTTTGTTGAGTCATAGATCAGTGATTAAAAGCTGTGAACTAGTCATTTGAAACAGATCAGAGCTGATTTACTTTCTACTAAGGGCCTGTCCCACTAAATTGCAAATTGTCTAATAATCCAACATGTAAAATATATAGAAATATTGGATTTTGTTCTCTTATCTGACAGTGACGTCATTTTTAATCCATCTAAGCTTCTATCAGCCGGTGGTGGGACAGGCCCTAAGTATCCTTAATATCAATCTTATTTTAGTTTCTCTATATTCTAAGTGTTAAAGAAATATACTCACTATCAGGCCCTGGAAAGCTATGCAATTTAACTGTGACATTATCTTTAAAGGCTACAGATGCGCATGCACCGAGTACAAATGAACAAGTCCGCCAGAATGCTTTATTCACTTGCTGAGGTTCCGCTATGTTGAATGTCTGGAACTGAACATTACAAACATTATATTGTGTTTCTTGCTTATGTTATAAATGCAAAAGTTTGCATGAAATTGTTACTACATATTTCATGTATTACTAAATAGATTTTGATGAAATTAGTCATAGATTTAGACCATGGTTCAAAAGAACACATAGACAAGTCAAGTTTTATTTTTAATTCTTCGCAGGAGTTAGGAGCGACTGCTAATATAATAACTGTGATGATGGATTTTTGTTATAGTTTGTGGACCAAACTGCTGAAACGATCTTAAAAAAATACAAAGAAAAAAATATGCGCTAGCCGTGTTGCGGAAACTGTAGGCCCTAGTCCCTACTACTACTACTACTACTACTACAAATGTTTAAGATATTGTAGTACAGAATATCAATAGAATAAGTTAGTGGGATATTCTGTAAATATAAAATGCCTACCTCTAGTGTGCAACTCTCTGGTAGAGGTCTATGCATGTCCCAGTGAACAGAACCATCCAGTAAGGCCAAAGCACTGCTCTCCATATGCCATTCCCCAAGATCTGAAATATATAGCCACTTTATTATTACATAACAGAGTATGTGGTGTTTTCTCAACCGATATACTAAAGCTTATATCTATAAAGGACACATAATGTACACACTACAGTAAGATGTCTAAAAAGCCATATTTGATGTACAAAATTACGTCTTCTTCACTTATAAACAAATGATGATATATACGAAGGTTTTCACAATATAATTATTTACAAATACGTACGTTTAGCACAATCGTATGGTGTAGAAATGTCTTTATTCATAACCAATGTGCATTCTTCTGGTACACCCTTGTATTTCACTTCAATCTTTTCTATTCGACCAACTAGTTCTAATTGCCGCTTCTTTTCTAATGTGAAGAGATGATGCCGACGCTCTGTAGCTTCTTGAGTACTTAAATATCCTTAAAAAAGAATTGTCTGTTATGATTCTGAGAAATAAAATTCTTGTAATAAAATGTCTAAATATCAACTTACTAATGGACAAAAATGCTTTTCTATTACTTTGCCGTAACATAAATTGTGATAACTGAGTTATGGGTAGCTTCATTTTAACTATATCCTATTTTATAAATACAGTATATTGTAAACAGTTTTTGAGGTTATCCGCGATGCGAATGACAGATGACAGCTGCATTTATTTTAATTCCGTTAATGGCAAAGGCATAACATTTTCTGATATGGTAGTTGAAAATGTTTGAGAACGTTACATGTGAAGTAGTCAATAGAAATATAAAATGTTTCTAATACATTAAATTGCGACTTGCCTATAAAACACATATTTTTATTTGCAGTTTCAGTTCGTTTTATTAGGAACCATTTACATATATTATTTACCCAAAACATGCTTGAATATCACTTCAAGGCATATTATTCATTGATTTCGACTCTATCGTAAAAATGATAAAAAAAAATATTACCCATTTTACTTACAGATAAATTACCATTATGACAGTGGAAGTAGTTTTTGAGTTATTTCAATACATACAAAAATACATATCTTTCCTCTTAATAATCTTAGTATAGATAATATAATTTGATGCGAAGCAGGGCATAAAGGCATGATGGGGAGAACACTGCACAATGCACATGACCTCAGGCTGCTAAGATATTTGAAAAGGGTTGTAAGGGTCAAAAAAGTAATTGAAATAAAAAATTTCAAACCTTTGAAAGGTTTATTCATACAATTGTTAAATGCATTATCTTAATTCTAACAAGACTTTAATGTCTTCTAACACTAAATTACTTCCGTAATACATCTACTTGAATAATGAAGGGTTGTACAATGAAATATGTTGTCACTAATTTTGATTAATATTATTTACAAAAGACTCCTTTGTTATACAATATACTGTAGAAGAGAAATTATTGAATAACTAACATCTTTCGAGTTACGTTTTTTGTTATTTCATTTATCATATTCAATTGTATTTTTGTACTGTTTTTTATACAGCTATGTGATTAAAATGGGAACCTACTACTAAAACATTCATCCAAAAACATATCTATCTCTTTTTATCATTCTAAAAATTGAGACAGCTATGTTTTTGTATTAAATTTTTGGTTGAAAACAGTTAGTCCGTTAAGTCTTCTTTTTTAGCCGACCATTGTTCGCTTTCTGCCCCTCGCTCTGACTTCTTCAAATTTATTCAATATTTCCTTTATATTGTTTTTATTGTAACTTTTATAGTATTCGAGAAATTTATCGAATAACTTTGGATAATTATTATGTGTACTTATAAAAGCTCTTTCAAGAACATATAAATCCACACCCTTGTCTTCCGCACTGGAATCTATGTATGATAGGCCAAAATCTATCATCACCAACTCCAGATTATCATGGTTCAACCATTTACTATCACCTTTAATTCTAGACGGTGTTTTTTCGACTAACAACATATTCGAAGTTGTCAAATCGCCGTGTATAATGTTATTATCGTGCATTTTACGCACAGATTCACCAATTACGTTGGCAATGAAGTTTAAAACATCCTCGTTCTCTTTTACATTCTTTACAACGGTTATAATAAAATCTTTTACCGTAATACTGATCTCCATATGTTCCATGTAAATACGACGTCTTTCGAAATCAACCAGATACAGCGCCGGTGTTTTCACTTCAGCTAAAATACATCTTAATATTGATCGTGCTTCGTTTTTAATCCTCTCTTTTGTGATTGTAGAGTCTAAATCAGGGTGGCGATAGTTTTTCTTGAATCTTTCCTTAATCAAAGTCGGTTTTCCGAGATATTTGCATACAAACAATTTCGCCTCCGCTCCTTGCTTTAGTAATTTTAAGTTTTCGGACATTTTGTGTTCACTTATGATTTACAACTTATTCATTTAACATTACGGCTAAAGTGTCAAAATATATAAAAGTTCACGTTTCTCACGATTTCTTTATTTGTTGAAAAATTGCGGAGCTCAAAGAAAATCAATACTTGCAGCTAAGGTGTTGCTATAGTCCCTTAGCAAGAAGTGCAGTTAATTCCCTAGAAATATAATACGGAGTATTCAAAACAATATGTCGATATTCTATTTAACCATAAAATAAAAACTAGAAATAGACAAAACAAATGTAAAACCGCTACTCACTTTCGATTACTAACGCAAACATATTTTATACTTCCTTAATGTTGTACATGTTATAGACTTGGGATAAAAACCATGTAGAATTGAAATAAAAAAGCTGCTGTAGCAGCTTTTCCATAGTTGAAATAAAAAGGTGTCTTTTAAAATTACCAACACTTTTGGTTAAAGTTCCAAGTTGGCAATACCATTTACAAATGTCAGTTTTGATGATTCCACGTTTCGTTTCAAGACTAAGCATTTTTTGAAAACGTCTCTGAAATTAAATCCAGAAGTCATCTAATTTGATTTAAAACCTTTATAAGTTCAATTCACACATATTAACTTAGATTATTTCAAATAAAACAATGAAAAACGGATATTAGATAACTAAATGTTTAATAACATCACTAGAGATACTAGAAAAACAAGTGTAATCCTTAATATAGTTTAAGACAAGGTAGAGCAGGCATTAGTATTTTTACTAGCAGAAAAATGGGATAAATACATTTCAGAAAATATATTTCCAAGCGACATTTTCATAAGATAAAACGGAATGTAAAATAAAATAAATGTAAATCGGCGTATATGAACAGCACCTTACATTTAATATCTTAGGCACTATATCTGTACTATGTTATGTATATGTACGCATGCCACCGGGTGTATGTATTCACTCGTTGGGGAGCAAGGGAGGCTGTGTGGGCGTGTGGTATTGGTTGTTGCACTCGCGCCGGCCGGCGGCACAACTTACATTTAGATTCGAACGCTTAATTCTACCAAATAGTTTAAAGGGAGACAGTGATTTAGACAATCTATTAACTCGGTGTTATCGCGACGTTTATACATCACAGTCTCTAATAAAATAAGAAAATTAAGTCGTGTACTTTTATCGAAAAATAAATAAAAAACGAACACCTTAATTTAGTGTCTGTGGTTTATTATAATTGTGAGAAATATGTCTGTGGAGGGATTGGAATACGAAAACATCGTGCAGAATGGCCCTAAAAAAGTAAGTTCTACATTTTCCTCCTTTTATGGATTAATAGAACAGGATCAGCTTTGATCTTACAGCGTAACCTTTCATTCATTAATTGATATTTATTTTAATTCATAAATAGAGTCAGGAGATGTGTTAAAATGAACGTATAGGCATGAGTAAAGTTGCCTGCGTCTGTATTGATACGTAAAGGAGGGTGAGGCAGTGTACTATACAAATGTCTGGGTGCATTTTCGTAGATATACTATGCAGGCGCGCCGCTGAGCACAGGCTAATGTGATTTCCGTCTGGATTTATGTAGGAATAACGCCTTTTGACGTATCTATTTTTTGTTATAATGAACTGTTTTAATTTTATTGAATATTTTCGATTTATTATTTAAAACGATTGTCTGTAATTTTTTTTTTACGACGTTGACATTATTCTTGGCTGTATGACTATTGATCATTGCCTTTTTTCCTCGTAATTAAATAAAATCACTAATTTGTGGATGGTAATAAACCCTAGTTTACATTAAAATTCTCGTTTTTATTAGTAGTGATTATGATTATTTTCCCATTGAAAATGTAAAACTTTCTCTTCTTCACCTAGATTATTTTTTAAATTAAGAGCGTCAAGTTTGTACATTTTAATCTGTATAATTACGCGCTCTTTTATTGTCTCCGTGAGAAAATCGCGTGCTAGTACACATTCCAACTAGCGCATAGAATATGTACATATTAACTGTTCAATTTCACAATGAGAGATGAGAAAATTCTCGTAGAGACGAATTAAATTTTTCTAACTGTCGAATAAAGGTTAAATCGTTGACTATTTCTTATATTAAGGCTAAAAATAGGTTTTCAAGATAAATACTGTCATTTGATTAAATATTCAATAGTTAAAAACTGTAAATATTGCCAGATCGTTTTATATCGCTGGCAAAAATAAAAAAAATGTGTCACTTACAAAAGGTCTGCAATAATTATTCTTGCGTTTCTTTTTAATTCGGACGATAAATTCAATTTGCATAACAAGGTTTCACGAATTTCGTCATAGTAACCGTCTGACGCGAAAATTATGCAAAACTCTTTTATACAGTCTACATTTGTTTGGCGCGCTATTAAAAAATTGACAGGTACGATAATTATTACTAAGAATTATATGAAAGCAGACCTCTCAAAGTAAATATTATAGAGGTTGTTGACTGTTCAAACACGAGTTGAGCTTTGATATCAATAAAAAAGTGTTTACAAGAATTATATTTCATAAAAAAACGTACATACTAGACAGTAAATGTATTAATAACAAGTAAAAAAACAAAACAATTATATTATACGAATCTTTCTTGTTGATTAATAGACAATTTATGACCACTTAATTAATTATAGGGTTTAAAAAAATACATCGTTTTAACTTCAATTTGACAGAATTTCCGAATTCGAATTTCAAAAATTCGTGCCAAAGATGTAGTTCGAATTTGACTAGTAAAATGGTGCAACTGATTTTAAAATTACTAAATTTTAACAATACTTAATAGATCTTATTTCTAAACCTGAAATAAAATGTGGTAATTATTTATATTTTAATCCGTAACTGTAAAAACGTTTATTCAACAATGACGATTAAAAAAGTACTTAGTCAATCGATTGACGCGTACAAAAGTTAACTAGGATTTTTTTTGCTAACTTAAAATTCGACGAAATCAAAACTCATTGGTAACTGGGAATGTCGTAACATTTGTGGATTGACTTTCACAGAGCGGCCGTGAACTTGTAAAAAGTCTCGCATTTTTAGCAAACTAATTAGCATTTTGATGATAAAGAGCATATTTATAAGAAACCTTACGTATGTTTTCCCTTCCCATATCTTTACCCTCGGCATGGTATTACTTCATATACGCTACCATGGAAATCTAGCTTAAATTATTGTCTCTGTGCGGATTGGATAGTTTGCAATTTGCCAGTAGCTTTTAAAATTACGGCTGGCATACAACTGACATCATATAACTGACGCCAGAGTCCAGAGGCAGCTACCGTCCCTGCTAGGCCTGCGCTACTCTACAAGCGTACTGGCCAAATGTAAACCAGGCATAAGGGTAAGGGATAAGTTGCATAACATCGTGTGGTTAATGGTATTGGGCTTATGGTGAACATAAAAAATTAACTACGTCAAACATCTGCGCAGTTAAATTCCGTCGCCTACGTTTTAACGGATATCTCGTGAAATTGTGTGTAGGTGAATGTTTTTTTATTATTTCACATAAAATTATACGAGTATTTGTTGCGTAAGACTTCGTTCTGTAATCCAGAATGTAAATGTACATTTTCACCGCCTAACGTATGTCATCTCTCTCATTCCCTTAAAAAAAATAGAGATAGCAAAACCTGATAATGGTAGCAATTTATTTTACCATTTTTTGGAACTCGAATTTTCCTTTTATATAATAATTTTAACAACGAATGCAATAACAAATAAAAAAAAATCGTCAAGATAATCTAAAAAGAGAAATCGTATGTTGTTAAAAATATTCTTTGACAGTTGCCATATTGACTGTAGTCTAGACCAGGGAAATAGGCGTTGCTATCCGTATACAATCAGTATCGGAGAATATTTAAAAACTTCATAAACATAGAAAATAGCCAAATAATAAGGTGCTAGTGGTATATATTAATTTATTTACACTTATTCCCACCGTTTTAAATAATTTGTCGGTCTATAAATCTAGATGCGTCTTCCACGAATTTTTTTTATCTGTGAAAATTAAAAAGACAAAAGTCAACATTCTCTACAGCCATCCCGTTACGCGGGAAATGGTTATTTCATCCGACATAACCTGTTCTTATACCTCTTAGAAGTACCACTGTTCTTTATGTTACAAAACTTCGACAATCCAAAGTGACAATTAACGAGTTTTGATATCTTTTTAATATGAAAACATAGATAAAAATCATAAAATCGAAGCAAGATAATTATAGTTTTTTAAAAGCACTTAAGATAATGTCGGTTTTATTTGATTTATTTTTTATATTCTACAATCTGTGATTTAATCTAATTTGACGCGAACATACGATCATAAAACGTAAAATTAAGGATGTACCATGTACCGTGTTGCATTTTAAAAAAAAAACAAGATTCAATCTGTTGCTGCTGTCTGCTGAAAAAAAGTTTACTTATGGCCTAATATTACTTTGTTATGTTTATTTCGGTTCAAGAGTCTGCCAACATTAAAAAAAAAATGTCTTTCAGTCAGTCACGTTAACACAGACTATGGTCTGTATTAAACGCAGCAATTTCTCTTGATTTTATACGACTAATAGAAACACTTGTGCAAAAATACAGTGAAATGACTAATTCCGGGGAGGCTTTTTGCATTTTTTATATTTGCCTGCAACAGCGAGGAGCATTTTTAATAAACAAAAAGCTGTGCATTTATTTTTTAAATTTCGGAACGTCGCCGCTTTTTGTGTTTACGCTTTTCCTGTTTTCCTTGTCGTATGCTAAATGCATGGCTATTGTTTACGTGTAGTGTTTTAAAGTAGTAAATAAAAACGTTGTGTTTTGCTTAAAATACCATTTATTTTCAACGTAAACAACTGCACGGTTTATTCCTTTCTCATAATCAAAAACTTGCAAAAAATAATAGCATTGTCTATGGTTTACAGCTGCGTCTTCAATTGTCATCAACCAAATCTTTGACATGATAAAGTAATGTGTATCTTTAATCGATTATTCCAAAATGAACTCGATTACGACAATCGAATCTATCTAGATCCGGGATCGCACCGAACTCTGTCCCAATCATTGGGTACCCTAAGTAAATCAAATCTCGCCCGCGAGATCGATGACCTCGCACCTACGTCTGCCCCATACTTGGGTCTGAGACCATAGACAAGGAAAAATAACGTGTGATTTTTTTTTTACTTTTTAGTCACC